CCTACAGTGTTAAATGGATCCACTTAAAGGAAAGACACCTGGATTTTTACTTGAAAAGAGAAAAGTTATTAAAATATTTGAATGTAAATTTCATTTCATTGAGAAATTACAAATGGAATGAATGCTTCCTACTGTTCACTTTAATTTGGTTGATTAAAAATCCAAATCCCAGGAATTCCCTGGTGGTGCAGTGGTTAAGAATCTACCTGCCAATGCAGGGGATGTGGGTTCAAGCCCTGGTCTGGGTAGATCCCACATGCCATGGAGCAATGAAGCCCGTGCACCACAACTACTGAGCCTGCACTCTAGAGCCTGCGAGCCACAACTACTGAGCTAATGTGCCACAACTACTGAAGCCCATGCACTAGAGCCCGTGCTCCGCAACAAGAGAAGCCACCGCAATGAGAAGCCCATGCACCAAAACGAAAAGTAGCCCCAGCTCGCTGCAACTAGAGAAAGCCCACGTGCAGCAACAAAGACCCAACACAGCCAAAAATAAATAAAAATTAAAAAAAAATCCAAATCCCTCCAAATATATTTTTTACCAATATTTTAAAAGTTCAAAATATAAATAGAGATCCTCTTAATCAATTAACATTATCTTATACATGTGTATATGCCGTGCATTGAGAAAATAGGAAATGCCTTATTTTTTATTGGAAAGTGGAAACTTTTGGCTTCCAGCCTGCCACTAAACATTCCCTGGTGACATTCAAATCATGAGCCTCACAGTTGGCCTAGGCCTGATCACTGCATGTCTGCAGCCAGCTGTGCAATCAGGTCTCTGGCATCTTGCATGATGGAGGGTATCTCTGAGCCATTCTCAGTCACCTGGGTTCCAAACAAAAACATCTTCCTGTCATTTCCCACCTCAGATAATGCCAAAGCTTCATGGATATCTGTAATGTGGTAGGCTGCTTCAAGATCCTTCACCAAGAATGAAAAAAGAATTGAGAAAAAGTTGGTTATTTTGCAATCTTTTTGGATAGATACACTTATTACTCTCATTTATTGCTCTCAATGACCCCACCTCCATTCTAATATGGAGGATACTGTAATCCCATTACTATGATCTTAATGATTGTTTGAATATAATGATTTTCATTGGAATTATATCAGCATTTATGAGTTATCATCAAAAAGTATGTTCTGGAATGAAGTTAAGCCAATATAATACCTTAATCAATTTCCTAAACAGTGCAATCTATCTGCTTCTAATTTTGTTTTTCCATTTTTATCTTTATTTTCCTAAGATTATTTTTAATTTGTCTTTAACAATAGAAATTTGATTCATTAATTGGTTTTTGTCCATATCATATTTTATTGATTAAGCATTTGCCAAATGTGAGTTTTCTTTTGCAACCATTATTTCTACTGAACAAAAAATTTTGGATCAAATTTGGGGGGATGGAGGGAGACAGAGAAGGGATAAGGGAGGAAGTGAATTTAGAAAATGTAGTAGTGGGTAAAGGAGGCTGAGAGGGGAGGGACAGGTGG